TTATCCTGGATTATCTGTGGGCCCAATGTAATCACAGGGGTTCTTACAAGAGAAGGCGGGGGTCAATGATAGGAGAAGGCTGTGAGCTGGTAGCAGCAGAGATTGGACTGATGTGGCCATGAACCAGGCAATGCTGGCAGCCTCGAAAAGCTGCAAGATTAAAGGAACAGATTCTCCCCCAGACCTCCAGAAGGAACCAGCCCTGATGACACCTTGATTTTAGCTCTCTGAGACTTATGGGCTTCTGACCTCCAGAATGATAAGATGATAAATTTGGGTTAAGCTAGGTTTGCCATGATTTGTTACAGCAGCAATAGGAAACTCATACACCTTCTATTGATTTCATGATAGTCTCCCAATACAAATGTCTGCTTAATTTAGCCACACTCCTCTCCAGTTGCTTATCACCCCCCTCCAGCCCTCAGCACCGTGTTTGGTCCACCTTCTGTGCTCCCACATCATCCCCTGCTTTCCCTGAAGAAGCCCGGCTCACCCTGAGTTGTGACTCTCTACCTGCTGGGCTACCTCCGCCTCTAGACTGCAAACTCAACAAGCACAAGGGTTGAGTGTGCTCTATCTTTGGAGCCCAGCAGCTAGCACAACCTATGAATAAACGTTAGTGAAATGAACAGATCAGAACTTTTTTTTTACACAAAGGTGTCAGAAAGGTGAAAACGCCTTGAGAAGTTAAAAAAAAAAAAAAAGATTTGAATCAATGGAGAAACATTTTGTATTAGGCTCCTTTTGTATAGACAGTGGAAATTATAAAAAATGGTATACTTATCTAAAAGGGAAATTCTGTTCTGATTTATGACAGGATTTTTAAAAACTGACTTTCATGTGAACATGAAATACTAAACATACAATATTTTAGCTAAATCACTTGGATAGGACTGAAAGCAGAGCGAATGTAATCGATTTATGATATTATTAAAACCTAAGGGGAAATGAAATGTCCGTTTCAGTAACGCTGGGCGTGTCCATGTTTCTCACACTTCAGTATTATTGTAGGACACTTCAGCGGCTGTTTGCAATATCTTGATGGTCTGCTAAACCTGGCTTTATCCGGCCTGGTGTGGAACACACATTTGAGACACTTGGGCTTAAGAGATCTCTCTCCCTTGCATGATACGGAGTTTTAAAGGATTTTTTCCCCTCCCCACCACAGTGCTCCCTGTCTAAATTTTTTAAGCCTTTGGACTCTATCCTACAAAAATTCAAAAGCACAAGTGCACGAGGATTTTCACTGCAGCTCTATTTGTAATAGCATTCCATTGGAAGCAACCCAAGTGTCAATCAACTGGAAAGTGGTTGAATAAATTATGGGATATACATAATCTGGAGGGCTATGCTTTCCTTAAAAAGAATGAGGTAGTTTTATACATAGTACTTTTGCTTCAAAATCATAGTTCACTGCTCTGCTCAAAACCCTTCAGGCCTTCCAGTTTCATTTACATAAAATTCAAACTTATTCCCCAGGATAAAATGCCCTCCATGGGGGGCTGTGCCTGCCTTTCTGATCTTGGAGTTTGCATTCTCTCTCCTCCATTTGGATTCAGCGGGATGGCCTTCTCCATCAGTGTCCCCTCGTTGCTCCCCACTCACGCTCGCTGCCACCACAAATCCTTTGCACTTGATGTTTTCTCAGCTGGGAATGTTCTTCCCTTGACCAATGTTTTTCAGCCTTAGTCACACAGTAAAACCATCTGCATTCCAGGCCGCATCCCAAACTAATCAATTCAGAATCTCCAGAGTGGTACCCAGGCATCAATTCAGAATCTCCAGAGTGGTACCCAGGCACCAAAATGGTTTTGGTTTGGGTTGTTTGTTTGTTTTTAAGCTTCCCGGGTGATTCCCTGAACAGCCCAGCTTGAGAACCAGGGTGGCTTCACCTGGTGGTTCCTCTCCAACATTCAGGGCATAGTTCAAATGTCACCTCCTCAGAGAAAGGATGATTACACTACTTTTCAAACCAAAGATAGATAACTGGTAGAGTTGAAAAAGAAAAATATAAGCAAAAGATGAGTACAAAATGAAATTGAATTTGTAAACATAAAGGTGGTAAGTACGAGATGGCATACACTGAAAAGACAACAGAGCAATACAAAGGCAGATGGAATTTAAATTTCAGTTTGCTCACTTGCTAACTGTGATCTTGTAGCAGTTACCCACTCTCTCTGAGCCTATATGAAAAGTGGATAATCATACCCACCTTGAAGAGTTGTTTTTTTTTTTTTTTTTTGCTGTACGTGGGCCTCTCACTGCTGTGGCCTCTCCCGTTGCGGAGCACAGGCTCCGGACGCGCAGGCTCAGCGGCCATGGCTCACGGGCCCAGCCGCTCCGCGGCATGTGGGATCCTCCCAGACCAGGGCACGAACCCGTGTCCCCTGCATCAGCAGGCGGAGTCTCAACCACTGCGCCACCAGGGAAGCCCTGAAGAGTTTTTTAAGGAATAACAAGTCCGCACATGGCACATAATGAACACTAGGTAAATAGTATTAGCTATTGTTAAGTAACAAAATGATTTTTTGAAGCGGCTAATGCTTCAGAATTCCAAGAAAATAGAAAATGTCAAGTGTCTGGGGATCAGAGAGGGCTTCTCCAAGTAAGTAGAATTTAATTTTTGCCTTAAAGTAAGGCTAGAATACGGGCAAGAGGACAGAATGGTGAGGGTTGCGAGTGGCATCCCAGGAGACAGGGAACAGGAGAGACAAAGATCAGAGGTAGAATTTTGCAGTGCGTTTGGGGAAGAGGGAGTTAACCAAGAGGAAAGAGTTTGCCCAGAATGACAGTGCAGCAGTATGTCAGGATGGGCGAACCTTCTGTTTTCTGTCATACAGCATCTTTCCAGCACTGGCATTTCCCTGAATTAAATTGTGTGGGAGAGCAAGTCTCTGATTGGAAGCAGATCCATCAGGCATAGAGGCAGAGAAGTGGGGGTGGTGGGAGACACTGCCTTCGACAGGAACTGGCGTGGCCTCTTGGAGGCTGACTCTGGGCCATGAATTAGCCAGCCTCAAAGAAGCAAGCTTGTAAGGTTTCCCAGGGACAAACCACAAACCAGTTCCGCAGCCCTTGGTGCTCCCATGGGAAACCCCCAACTACCTAGGGTTGAGGGGTGGAGCCCAGCTCTGTCTGTGTGAGTCAAGGTCCTGGGTTGCCTTCAGGTTCCTGCAACCAAGGAACATTCAACGAAGGAACTACTAACAAAGGGCAGGCAGGGTTATGGGTGTGGGAGGGAGAATGCTGCAGGAGTCCTGAGAGGGACTGCCAACCTGTAGCCGGGGTGGGCTGGGGGAATACATACCCTAGTCTCTCTGCTTGTCTGCCCTCTTCTGCAGGTGAATTCTCACTGGCCAAGCCCAAGCCGGAAGCCAGAGGGCAAGGGTGTCCATTGATGCAATCCATACAGGTCAGCCCCTGGGGCTCAGAGCGGGATGGAGGTGTGCAGAGAGTGGATCTGGAATGCCCAGCACAGCAAACAATCTGACAGAATGACAAGCCCACAGAAGGGGCTGATCACCACCCTGCAACCTCAAGGGATCCCCCTTAGTGGGTCCCCTCCTCACCTTCCTACTTCCCACTCCACCCCCTACACGTGTAATTGATCAACCAGCCTTGCCAACTGGACCTCCTAGTATCTCTCAAAAATATACTCTGCTCACACCATATACCTAATTCCATAGGGATTAAAGATTTATGGTTTTCCCTCTTATAGCTAAAAGTACTGGATGAAAACCTCACTGGATATTTATATAACCACGGAGTAAAGGGAGGACTTCTCAAACGTGACCTTAAAGGCAAAATCACAGAGGAGAAGACTGATAGATTGTAATACATAAAAATTGGAAACTTCCATTTGACAAAAACCACCATGAACAAAGTTGAAAAGGCATCAAAAAATAACCAAAACAAAATTCAAACAATGAAATAAGCCCTCTGAACTTCCTCGTAGCGTGATGGCGTTAGCGTTGGCGTGGTGACGTAGGGAAATATTTCTCATTAGGGATGGATTCGTTCAGTCCGATCCCAGAAGGAAGTCTTGTTCCTGCATGTAAATGATGGGTCATCTTTGGAAAGCCTTCAGGTTGTAGCAGATTCAAGCTTTGTCAGTGGAGCCCAGCTCTGTCTGTGTGAGTCAAGGTCCTGGGTTGCCTTCAGGTTCCTGCAACCAAGGAACATTCAACGAAGGAACTACTAACAAAGGGCAGGCAGGGTTATGGGTGTGGGAGGGAGAATGCTGCAGGAGTCCTGAGAGGGACTGCCAACCTGTAGCCGGGGTGGGCTGGGGGAATACATACCCTAGTCTCTCTGCTTGTCTGCCCTCTTCTGCAGGTGAATTCTCACTGGCCAAGCCCAAGCCGGAAGCCAGAGGGCAAGGGTGTCCATTGATGCAATCCATACAGGTCAGCCCCTGGGGCTCAGAGCGGGATGGAGGTGTGCAGAGAGTGGATCTGGAATGCCCAGCACAGCAAACAATCTGACAGAATGACAAGCCCACAGAAGGGGCTGATCACCACCCTGCAACCTCAAGGGATCCCCCTTAGTGGGTCCCCTCCTCACCTTCCTACTTCCCACTCCACCCCCTACACGTGTAATTGATCAACCAGCCTTGCCAACTGGACCTCCTAGTATCTCTCAAAAATATACTCTGCTCACACCATATACCTAATTCCATAGGGATTAAAGATTTATGGTTTTCCCTCTTATAGCTAAAAGTACTGGATGAAAACCTCACTGGATATTTATATAACCACGGAGTAAAGGGAGGACTTCTCAAACGTGACCTTAAAGGCAAAATCACAGAGGAGAAGACTGATAGATTGTAATACATAAAAATTGGAAACTTCCATTTGACAAAAACCACCATGAACAAAGTTGAAAAGGCATCAAAAAATAACCAAAACAAAATTCAAACAATGAAATAAGCCCTCTGAACTTCCTCGTAGCGTGATGGCGTTAGCGTTGGCGTGGTGACGTAGGGAAATATTTCTCATTAGGGATGGATTCGTTCAGTCCGATCCCAGAAGGAAGTCTTGTTCCTGCATGTAAATGATGGGTCATCTTTGGAAAGCCTTCAGGTTGTAGCAGATTCAAGCTTTGTCAGTAGAGAACTGGCGTTTGGGAGTTCTGTGGAAGTTCAAGGGCAGCTGGTAAAAAGTTTGTCCAAAAGGCAAAATGTGGAACTGAAGGCAGAAAAAATTGAAGTTGTTGGAAATTGTGATGCCAAGGCTTTCCCTTTTAAATATAAAGAGAGGCATCCTCTGGAGTATCTGAGACAATATCCTCACCTTAGGTGTAGGACTAATGTTCTGGGTTCTATACTGAGGGTTCGCAGTGAAGCCACAGCTGCTATCCATTCTTTCTTTAAGGACCGTGGCTTTGTGCATATTCATACTCCAGTAATCACATCCAATGACTGTGAGGGGGCTGGAGAACTTTTTCAAGTTAAACCTTCAAGCAAAATAAAGGTATCTGAGGAGAATTTCTTCAATGTTCCTGTTTTCTTAACTGTCTCAGGACAACTTCATCTAGAAGTGATGTCAGGAGCTTTTACTCAAGTGTTTACCTTTGGTCCAACATTCCGAGCAGAGAATTCTCAGAGCCGGAGACACCTGGCAGAGTTTTATATGGTAGAAGCAGAGATTTCTTTTCTTGAGAGCCTTCAAGATCTCATGCAGGTTATGGAGGGCCTCTTCAAGACTACAACAATGACAGTTCTCTCAAATTGTCCTGAAGATGTTGAACTCTGTCACAAATTCATAGCTCCTGGCCAAAAGGACAGATTAGAACAACTTTCTAATTGGGGTGCTGATCTACACACTGAACATGAAAAGTACCTGGTGAGGCACTGTGGCGACGTACCAGTCTTTGTCATTAATTATCCATTAGCACTCAAGCCCTTCTACATGAGGGATAATGAAGACAGCCCTCAGCACACAGTTGCTGCTGTTGATCTTCTAGTTCCTGGAGTTGGAGAACTCTTTGGGGGAAGCCTCAGAGAAGAACGGTACCATTTCTTAGAGCAGCGATTGGCCAGGTCAGGACTGACAGAAGCCTACCAATGGTATCTGGACCTCCGTCGATTTGGATCTGTGCCACATGGAGGTTTTGGGATGGGATTTGAACGCTATCTGCAGTGCATCTTGGGAATTGACAATATCAAAGATGTTATCCCTCTTCCAAGATTTACTCATTCGTGTCTTTTGTAGCTGAAAACTGCTTAAGGAAAACCACCCTGTGCCAGAGGTACTGCACATGAATATACATACAGGAGAATGCATGTTTGAACTGTAGAAATGCAGAAGTTTTCAATATGTAATTGTCATGCCAGAAGATACATGAAAGATACATGTGATCATGATTTTCATTGAAAGTTGAAGGCATTTCATGGAAAGATGAACTCCATCAAGAAGAGGTACTTATAGCAGATAGAATCTCAAAGCTATTGTATCAATTAAGAAAAAAATGAAGAAATTGAACTAGATGATCTCAAAGGTCCTTTCAAACTCTAGGACAGGATGAAATTGTGTATTTTACTTTTTCAAGATTTTTTTTTTTTTTTTGATGTGGACCATTTTTTTTAAAGTCTTTATTGAATTTGTCACAATATTGCTTCAGTTCTATGCTTTGGCCCTTTGACCGCAAGCCATGTGGGATCCCAGCTCCCCGACCAGGGATCGAACCCACACCCCACGCACTGGAAGGCAAAGTCTCAACCACTGGACCGCCAGGAAGTCCCGAAATTGTGTATTTTACTTTGTCTTTAATCAGTAGACCACTGCCCTCTGTGACCTTTGAGAAGCAACTACTAGCTAAAAATAAAATGTTGTTGGATCTTTTAAAAAAAAAAACAAAAAAAACAAAAAAAAACACAATGAAATAAGAAAATATCATTTCAGCAAATTTAAGTAAAAGGAGTACTGTCTAAATATATAAAGGTCTTATTACAAATAGATAAGAACTGACCCAAATTGGGGGGAGAGGGAGGAACTAAGAAGAAAACTAAACAAATAAGGAAAATGCTGTGAAAATAAAAATAGACACATAGGCAAAGGACATGAACAAGACTGATTAAGGAGGAAAAACAACCTGATAACAGCATATGGAAAAATGTTTACTCAGTCCAAGAAATGCAAATTTAAACAAGAAACCCTTTCTCCAACCAAATTCACAAAGATTGTTCTTAATGAGAATACTCAGTGCAGGCAGGGGTGCATTGAAAAGAGCCCTAGTGAATTGCTTAGAGGAGTATAAATTATTACAGTCTTGAAAAGCAAATTGGCAGCTCAGTATTGAGAAACTTTAAAATTAGTCTCCCTTAACCCAACTTGAAAATTCTGGGAATTTTTACTTGCTAGAATCTATTCAAACACTTTCCTGCTCACAAAGTGCAAGCATCTCAATGTGGCATATACCTTCCAAGTTTCACTTCCCCACCTCCCAGCTGACATCTGCCACTCCATCAATGTGAAACTACCCATTTTTCCCTAGGCATATGCCTACACTTCCCTGCCTCCGAGCATTTCCTGTTGATTTCCCTCTGCTTGGCTTGGCTGGCTTTGCTTACTGTTTTGGAATTAGCTAAGTAGTCAGAGGGTCTTCTCTGATCACCTGCCAAGTTGAGTTAGTTTTCCCTTCTCCATGTTTCTATAACACCCAGTGTATACAGGCTTACAGATAATTTACACATTTGTTTACATATATTTACATGTTTATATACCTATTTACATATCACTCTCCACCATCTTGGTTTCTCTCTCTGTATCCCCTGTACTGGTGGTTTTCAACTGGAGGCAATTCTGTCCCCCAGGGGGACATTTAGCCAAAAATGTCTAGCGACATTTTTGACAGTCATAACTGGGGGAAAACCAGGATGCTGCTAAACACCCTACAATGTACAGGAAAGCCGCCAAAACAAAGAACTACCCAGCCCAAATGTCAATAGCGCCAATGTTCAGAAACCCTATCCTTCACCTAGCTTCTGCCTAGCATGAAACATAAAAAGCACACACCAAAAAATATACATATAATGAACAAGCCCAGTTTCTTATTCCGTACAACGGGTGTAATTATATCTATTCCAGAAGGTTGCAGGGAGGATTAAAAGGGACCACATATGGGGCTTCCCTGGTGGCTCAGTGGTTGAGAGTCCACCTGCCGATGCAGGGGACACAGGTTCGTGTCCCGGTCCGGGAAGATCCCACATGCCGCGGAGCGGCTGGGCCCGTGAGCCATGGCCGCTGAGCCTGCACGTCCGGAGCCTGTGCTCCGCAATGGGAGAGGCCACAAGAGTGAGAGGCCCGCGTACCGCAAAAAAAAAAAAAAAGGGACCACATATGAACAGTGCCTGTTACAAAGTTGATACTCCATCAATATTAGTTCATCCTAACAATAATTGAATAAATTAAAAATACAGACCCAGGATGTTTTGGTCCTGAAATAACGACTCATTTCATAAACCACTTCATTTTATAGCTGAGGAGCCCAAGCCTTTAAAGGATGACTTGCCTAAAGTGTTGGCATCAGATCTGAGTTTCTAGTTTAGTGGCAAACCATACTTTAAATGCATGCATAAGAAAGGAATTAAAAGCTGACTCTTGTAAAACAAATAATTATCTTTTTTTGGTTTGCCTTATAAATACAATTTCATATATATGTATAAAAATTTCTTTAAAATAGTTAGAATACTAATAGAATGATGATTCAATTGAATAATGTTACCAGAAGTTTCACAGGGATTTATTTTGAAATTACATTTTTGGCATTTTATGCAAAAATAGGCAAATGTATTAAAATACAAAGTTAAACAAATAATACATTCTTTCAACTGTAGGAGAGATATAGTCCGAATCCAGAATAACAGTTCAAATAGTTTGCCATAATACATAAGCCACTCAAATATTAACAAGCTTTCTGGAATCTATGCTAAAAATTAACAACCTTGTAATGATTCAGTTCTTCCCTGCTCAATTGTTAATACATACAATGAAATTTCTTAGCAAAATATAATTCAGAGGCACCATCCGACCTGAGATCTCAGATTCTAACATGTTATGGCTTTTAATATGAACAACCAGTATAACCAGAATTTAAACAAATTATGGCAAATAAGTTAAAACATATATATTTTAACATCTATAGGCTTTATCAGGTGTTCCTTATACAGTCATCTGGCATGTTTAAAGAGTGAGCAATCATATAAAAGGAAATACGGTCAAAACCAATTGAAGTAATAAAATCCTGAAACTAAATAACATCTCACAATTCATTGCACAGCATATATTAGATTTCATTACATCAGTATATAGCTTAGTAGTAAATCCTCCTGATGGCCATAAACCTCTAAGGTGTTGTCAACTTGAAAAATGAAAGGGAAGGAGTTGGTGGGGGCAGAGAATGGACAAATCTACAGAAGTGCTGGTGCAGTGCACCTCTAAGTAGCAAAGTTGTAGTGTATCACCACCTAGTGGCTGAACTTAGTACCTCATTCTAATAAAGGGAACTTTTTCCTGTTGTATCGTCTCATTCACCCTTTAACTGTATTCATCTCTGTGACTGTGGTTCCTAATATTCACGTCGCTCAAATGGGTAAACCCATTTGCATTTCACCCACCAGGCTGTCAAGGATTTGGTTAAGGTTTTATGCTTACCTAACCTTTAAATTCTATTTTGGTTATTTTCAAAGTCACGCAATGGGGATGCCTATATTACCAAGATACCATCGTTTGTGAATACAGAATTATTATAGCTATAGGAACTTGGGGCTCTGGCCCAGTTTTTATTCTTATTACTGAATCTTTTAGCAAGTCAGAATAGTGCTTACTGTGTGCCAAGAACTGTTCTAAGAGCTTGACATACAATGCAGTTAATTTTCACAACAACCCTTAAAGTAGGTTATCATTAGCCCCATTTTAGGGCTGAGGAAACAGCCACAGAGAGGTTAAACCATATTCCTAAAATTACCCGGTAAATGAATGCATTCAGATCTGGGCCGTCTAACCCAGAATTGGCTCTGACTAATTCTACTATTCTGTCTACAGGATGATGAGCCACCAGCCATGTATGGGATTCAAATTTATTTGAAAAGATCTGAGAAAAGAAAGAAATTGGAGCACTGAAACACTAGGACACCCTTGGTTGGTTGAGGATTTATCTTAGTTACCTAGTTAGGCCTAATAGGGAAGCATCATGACAGAAGTAAATCAACAGACCCTTAAGCGAACAGTCCCTTAACATGAGCATCTACCTACATCTTCCTGTTTCTCTGTGATTTGCAATACTGCTCCAAAAGTGTAATTCAGATTACAATGTAAAATCACAAATCTTACAAAAATACTCAACATGTTAAAGAACTGCTCTTATCATGATCAAAACCATTCTCAAATGAGGATCTAGGCAACTTGGACAGACCCAAAAAAACTGACAAGAATGACTTCAGGATAGATGTTTCGAGTATCAAAGAGAAGATAGGTCTTAGGGAATTTAATGAGGCTTCCTAATATTTTAGCAAACTTTTAAAGACACCATGTACACGTTGCAAAAGTCAAACGTGTTTGTCAAAATCTTATCACACCACACTCCGTGGAAAAAATATATGCCAAATGTACATACCCGCTTTTGATTCTGTTTTAGGAATTTTAACTACAGGCATACCTCCTTTTATTGGGCTTCACAGATATCGTGTTTTACAAATTGAAGGTTTGCGGCAGCCCTGTATCCAGCAAGTCTATTGGCGCCATTTTCCCAACAGCATTTGGAACTTCATGTCTCTATCACATTTTGGCAGTTCTCGAAATATTTCAAACTTTATTATTATTATTGTGCTTGTTATGGTGATCAGTGATTTTTGATGTATTACAACTTGCCGAAGGTATACATTGGTTTTTTAGACACAATGCTACTGTACACTTAACTGCAGTTATAAACGTAACTTTTATATGCAATGGGAAACCAAAAACTTCAAGTGACTCACTTTATTTTGGTATTTCCTTTATTGTGGTGGTCTAGAACTGAACCTGCAGTATCTCTCTATAACACAAAACTTGTTTTTCTCATTCTGTTGCTTTGTTCTTCAAGGTAAGACCCCAATCAGACGTCCGCACCACACACTGCAGTGGCTTGTGGGACACTGTGTAGACTGCGGGTTCCACACAGCTCCTTCCCCACTCGCTGTGGCTCCATGTTCTCGCTTCCACCAAAAAAACCTTTTCAGAATTTAGGGGTGGGAATGATGACGTTATTGAATGGTTCTAATTTTATTATTACTATCCAACGCTTATTATAGACTTTAATAATCATTTCCAAAGTGGAAAGTCACTGGGATCTGGGAAGAAAGTATGATGTCTTTATATTTTTGACTATTCTTCTAATGTCTGTTTTTTATTTTCTAATACACATATTAGCACAGGAGCACATATATATAACTTATACAGACTCATATTGGGGCTGTATACATAATTTTTTTTAAAAAAGATAGGATGCAAAAGCAATTATATTTGGGCAACAGTGGTTGAAAAAAGGCTGTTTCCCAATCCTAGCAAACTAAGGGTTAAATCCTCTCTCCTTTCATTCAGTAACTTTTGAAGTCTGAGAGCCAATCTCCTTGTGCTGTTTGCTTCAGGTAAAATAAACTCACTGGTGCTTGTTTCTTGCTCTATGCCATCCTTGCAAGGGAGGCCCTGTTGGGGCTTCTAAGTATCTTGCTAACAATCCAGATGTGACCATTCTACTTAAACTGATTCAAGTGGCTTCTCTGGGCTCCAGGAGGCAGTTAACCAATAACTGAAAAAATATCTTATAAGTTTGGAAAAAACTGTAACAGATAAGTAAATTCAGTAGTTATTCAGAATAAGGTTTAGAATTCCAAAACTCCAACAATTATAATAGAGATTTATTTAAAGTAATACATTTACAGCCCAGATAGTTCTACATTGTCCATTTCAGGTTTAACCAACTTCATAAAAATACTTTAGGATAGCTGCATCCAGATTTAGACTACATGATTATTTCTTTGCCCATTCTTCTCTCTCTTTTCTTTCCCGAATAACCTCTTTCAGATATGGTTCAAGGTAGAATTTATCCTAAAGAATGAATAAAAGAAAAATATTATATGCTACCATTACATACTGATATACCCCCCAATACTCAATAGGTCTTAAACAACAAATCTATCAAAATTAATTTCCAACTTAAGAAAATATATTCTCAAGTAGACTAAAAACTGCCTGCTTTTCTAAAATGTAAAAACCCATAAAGATATTGTAATAAGCTACTCTGATAGGTTATTAGAGAGAAGTCTGTCAGAAAAGAAAAAGGAATGAGAGTCTACAAGCTTTGGCCTAGTTTCAATGCAGTTCAAGGGGTGAGGGTTTGCTTCACAGCATCCTTCCCAGGAGCTAGAAGGCCACTCAATGGGCGGATCACATGAACACCACCATTTTTTCATCCGAGCAGAAAGCAGTGTAGAGGGAGAACAATGGCCTGGGAGGCAGAAGACCTGGATTCTAGTCCTGGATCTCTATATCAGCGGTCTGCTTAATGATTCTGGAAGTCACTTCATCTCTAAGTCTCAATGTGTTTACCTCTAAAATGGAACTAACACTTGCTCTACTAACCTCACCAGATTGTAATAAGGATTTTGATTTGACACAACTTTAAGAACTCTAAAGCACTATACAAACGAATGTGTTCTCTGTTTCTAATACTCAGTCCTTCATGGCCAACATTATCAGATACAAAAGAGCTGTTCTACCTCCTCATATTTTGTCCACTGCTCTTTAGGCAAGATCTGCTGCCTCATGGTCAGGTCCAGTGCTCTCTTAATGCGAAACACCCTGTCATTATAAAGGTTCTCAGGAAGCCTTCTTATGGCTTCTTTTACATCATCACTCTCATATATTGTATCATCTCGCATTAAGCCTATGATAAAAAACAAGAGAGTAAGATTGAATATGCATCTCAAAAATAAGGAATTTCTAAAAAATGAGTAAAATTATGACTTATAACCTAAATCCTTAACTTAACTTGGGTGGTAATATGAAGAGTTAGGTATCATGGAAACTCAATGCATTTCACACACAGAAATGGGTTATTTAATGGATTATTTCTTAAATGGTACTGTGGAAACAATATGAGTCTTTGAAAATCTACTGCCACAAAATTCACATTTTATCTATGGCAATTTTAAAATCATTTACAATGTCATTTACAATGTCTACAATGTCTTTGTTTTTAAACACATATCAATAGACTATATCTCTACTTTCTTATACTTTAATTCTGAGATCAAGGTATTAAAGAAGCTTAAAATGATAGTGTACTAAGGAACGAGTAACATTTAATGATGCTTCCCTCATGCTTCAATTACAAAAGATGAAGTTCAGGGCAAAGTATAAAGTTCTAAAAAATAGTTCAGGCATCAAATAACTGTAAAGATGTCAGACAATTTTAACATTTGAAAAATCTCTACTTTCAAAGTTCATACAACTTAAATTTTAAAATGATAAGCGGAGGAGTTGAGAGAGGGAACATATAATAAAGAAAATGTTCTGCTACCATATTTCAAGAACATAAATCATTTCCAGCTCATACATTTGAGAAAATTCCATCCCTCTCTTCTCATAATAATAAAAAGAAAATGGATTTAACAATAAAATGTGACCTAATTTTAAGATTTCTAATGTACACAGGTGCAATTAGTTAACGTATTTTTCGGATCCATGATAACTCTTGCAAAAGCACAACTCTCCAAAAAAAAAAAAAAAAAAAAAAGCACTACTCTCAGAAAAAGAAAAAAAACACAACAGAAGAAAGCACAAATACTCACCCAGCTTATTGAACCCGGCAGCATTGTAATACCATTTTCGAATACCCTCCAGCCATTTGCTTGATGCTGCAACTGATATTGTCACACTGTTAACTGCTAACAGTTCACTTATAATAGTACATAAGCAACCAATTAAAAAATGCAAACACAGGAAGGAATTTCTTTTCAAAGCATATACCCTATATATTGTAGATAAAAATAGCTTATTTTATCTATGAGCAAAAGTACTGCAGGTAAAAAAATTGGGCCATTAAGTCATGGGGAAAAAAGGATAAACTCAAACACTTAATGTACTAAAGATCTGTAGGTACAGTAAGTCCCTCGATATCCTCAGGGGATTGATTCCAGGGCCCCCTCAGATATCAAAATCCGAGAGGCTCAAGTCCCCTATATAAAATGGTGTAGTGTTTGCAAATAACCTAAGCACATCTTCCTGTATACTTTAAATAATCTCTGGATTACTTATAATACTTAACACAATGTAAATGCTATGTGAATAGTTGTAAATCCGAAATAAATGCTATGTAAATAGTTGCCTGAGAGCAACAAATTCAAGTTTTGCATTTTTAAACTCTGTGGAACTTTTTTCCCAAATATCTTCCATCAGGGGGTTGGCTGGATCCTCGAATGTGGAACCTGTGGATACGGAGGGCCACTCCAGCTTCTCAAAGTCAAGCATCCCATTCCTTTTTGTCCCCCTGCTACCATCAGAACTGAGGGGTGGGGGATGAAAAAGAAACTGGGAACTTCTCCATCATTTGTAGTTTCAGAAATAGGTTATAGGAAATAACTGTAAACTTTTCAAGGGAGTTGGAGTTGTATGAAAAGATGAGATTTCAGCATACACTGGCAAATCTTAATGACCCCCATCCTCCAAAATTTTTATTCTACATTACCTTTATTTCACTTGGTTACTCTCTTTAAAAATATATGTATTTCTGGGAGGGTTTTGATACCATTAGTCAGTCATTTAATATTAATATGGACTAGTAAAAGAAGCACATTCTCCTACTCCCGAGCAGCTAACTTTCCACTGAGGGAATGGATATTTGAAAATGGATGAGGAAAAATAGGTAACGTTAAAACTCTCTGGGGAACAGGACTGAGCAGGATGGGTTACCCAGTAGGACCTAAGGGCAACATGATAGTACCTGATGTTTACAGGAGACATGTGGTACAGGAGGGGAGGTATGGCAAGTTTAAATTTTCTTTTACAGTTTTGTCTTAGGGTTAGCCCCTTACCAAAGAAGGAAAACAAACTCTCCTTTTACTTCAACCCCTCCTTAGTACATCACAGCTTTGGTAAATCTCCTTGGAAATGAAGCACCATGTATATCGTTACTTCTGGAAAGACAACTACCAAAGAGTCAACAATATAGAAACATACTTATAGGACATAAATTATTTGTAAACATATTTACCAGTGATGGTAATAATGATCACTATTCATTGAACACTCACTGTGTGCCAGGCACTAGTCTATTTGCTTTACCACCATTAGCTAGAGTTATTTACAACACGTCTATCCTTGCAGAAGAGGAATAAGGCTTACATAAATTATCCCATCCAAGATCAAAGGCAGCTAGTAATAGGGCTGAGGCCAGGTCTATCTAGTTTCCACAGGGCAGAAGCAGAACGCCTACAGTATTTGTCAAGTTAATGAAATAATGAATTCTTAAATTTCTCCCCCACTCCCCAAAAGCTCAATGTCATTTAGGTTAACGAATTTTTCTGGCAATCTGATGTTTCTTAATAGCTTCACAATTGCTGGGGGCAGGGAGAAAGGAACCAACATTTTTTTTAAAGCTATTACAATTTATACCGCCAGAGGGCAGGGATTGGCAAAAGAAAAAAAAAAAAACCCGCACACGGAAAACTACTTTTTTCACATTCTGTTTTAAGTATTCCGGTAATTTCTGCATCCTATTCAATAATAAATACATTTGTTCCAGTGCCTGGAATAAATACAAATTTCTCCAAATCCACAGATCAAGTTGACGTTCCAGATAAGCCAAGGTTAAACTGAAGTTTCGCTGTAACCCTTGCTCAGCTGCCTCTGATTCCCAGTTTGAGAAGAGCGAGAGGTGGAACGAGATTGAGATTTCCAGTTCCTCCGGTCACTTCGCCTCAGTTATCTTACCAGCCGAAAAGGGAAACTAGCACCATCTTCCTCGCACTGGCAGGAGAGTTTATCGAGCTAATAACGCACATGACAGCGCTTGGCTCACAGTAAGCACTCAGTTCACTTGGGTTGAAAGTCAGCCACTAATTATCTCCCCTGAACTCTTCTAAGGCCGAGGGGAAGGGCTGCCGAGCTCTAGCAGGCCGGAACGCCAGGGCTGTGGGAGACACCGCGGGCACCTTCACCAACAGCGGGTCCCATCCCCAAACGAGCCGGGCCTGGAGACAGCAAGGGGGTGAGGCCAAGGCCTCCTTCAGGCGGCCTGGAGCCGCCGCCTTCCCTTTTGCCGCAAACCTGGCCATTTAGAGAGAGCAGAGGAAGAAGAACAAGTTGCTGCGAGAATAAAAGTTTGAGCACGGCGATGCCCGCCAAGCAGGACACCGCTCACTTACCGGCAGGCCTACTCGCCATTTCAACCCGAGACAGAAGCGTTGCCTGCTGGGTAAGTCCTTAGAGGTCGCGCAAGGCCCAGTGCGCAGGCGTGTTACGTCAACGTCGCGAGGAGGGGCGGGGGTGGGAGAGCGAGTGGGTGCACGCGCAGGCGCAGTTCTGGCGGCCGGCGTTGGCACCTGCGCCGCGCTCCTCTCCGCAAGAATTACAGCAATCCCATAGGCTTGGACCCGCCCCTGGTTCCAAGAGGCATTCCATGTGACAAGATGGAAAAAGCACTAGGCAAGGAATTAGGACACCCGGTCTTCAGCCTGGTTCTGTTGCTGACGAGCTCTGAGAGCTTGGGCAGTATAAATTGCGCCCTTTGTGACAAGCAACACGCCAAGCGTTTTATGGACATATTTTCATTTAATTCTAAACCTATACGATAAATACTATGATTGTACCCATTGTAGAGAAGAGGAAACTGAGGCTCAGAAAGGTTGCATAAATTGTCCAAGGGCACACAAGCTAGGAAGAATCCGGATTCATCTTCCAGAATCTGAGAATCCAGATAAAACTTCGGCACTCCTTAATTCTAGGGCTATATGCACACCACTAATCCAGGAGACAGTAACCCTCTCTCACCTTGTTTCTCCAGGTGAAGTTCTACCTCAAGCCATTATAGTGGAAGGTTAGTTGAAAAAAAATTTTAATATTAAATCTGAGATGTATAGCAGAATTCAAATGCAATTTTAAGGTAAAAGTACATCTTTAAGGTCTCAGTCCAAACATGTTAAGTCTAAGGTATAAAAACCTAGGGACAGGGCTTCCCTGGTGGCGCAGTGGTTGCGAGTCCGCCTGCCGATACAGGGGACGTGGGTTCGTGCCCCGGTCTGGGAAGATCCCACATGCTGCGGAGCGGCTGGGCCCGTGAGCCGTGGCCGCTGAGCCTGCGCGTCGGAGCCTGTGCTCCGCAACGGGAGGGGCCACAACAGTGAAAGGCCCGCGTACCCCCCCGCCAAAAAAACACAAAAAAACAAAAAAAGAAAAACCTAGGGACAGCAATATCACAAATTGTTGGAGGAGCAGAACAAAATTATTGGTTAGTGGGTGAGGCAGGGAGAGGGGACAAGTCAGACTCCCTCTTTACACCTTTCATCAAAATAAACTCCAGGTGTATTAAAGAGATTTAAAAGTTGGAAGAAAAAAAAAAAACACTCTAGGGACAAAAAACAATCCAAGTTAGGATGACTGATGTTTATGCAGTTACTGATGAACTTCTGCAACCACTACTGTCTGGGGTCAGCTCAGTCTATGGTAACAAAATACTGTAGACTGAGTAGCTTAAAAAACAAATTTATTTTCTCACAGTTCTGGAGGTTAGAAGCATAAGATCAAGATGCCAGCATGGTCAGTTTTGCTTTCCCTGTGGCTTGTAGAGGGCTGCCTTCTTACTGTGTCCTCCCATGGTAGAGAGAGAGCAAGCTCTTTTGTGTCCCTTACAAGGACACTAATACCATCATGAAAGCCCCACCTTTATGACTTTATCTAAACCTATATTATCTCTCAAAGGCCCCATCCAAATGCCATTACATTGGGGGTTAGAGCTTCATTACATGAATTTGGGGGTGGGGGGGTCACAATTCAGTCCAGAGCAACTACCCACCAATATTTACTTCTGTTTTCTTCCATCCTAAGCTGAGACCTGGGACAGTATAGAATGGCTAATTGTAAATCCAAAAGGTTTAATGGTCTTAGTCACATTCCAATGCTAAAATTCTGTTGCCTTCTGCCTTTTTCTTTTTCTCTGTGCCACCACAAATTCTCAGTATTACTCAGCACTATACGCAGTACTAAAAAGTGATGAATGGCTGCTCCCAGACTACACTAGCCAAAGTGAAATTGGAAGATATGAAGAAATGCAGTACATTTGTAAGGTGGCACATCACCTTACAAGAAGTACTCAGTAGGGACTTCCCTGGTGGCGCAGTGGTAAAGAATCCGCCTGCCAGTGCAGGGGACATGGGTTCGAGCCCTGGCCCAGGAACATCCCACATGCCGCAGAGCAGCTAAGCCTGTGCACCACAACTACTGAGCCTGCACTCTAAAGCCTGTGAGCCACAACTACTGAGCTTGAGTGCCACAACTACTGAAGCTCACGCGCCTAGAGCCCGTGCTGTACAACAAGCCGCCACAATGAGAAGCCTGTGCAGTGCAACAAAGAGTAGCCCCTGCTCGCCGCAACTAGAGAAAGCCCGCGCGCAGCAACGAAGACCCAACGCAGACAAAATAAATAAATTTTAAAGAAATTATTAAATTAAATAAAAAGGAAGTACTCAGTAAACTCTTCTCCCTCCCTCCTTACCCTTTAAGTTTCAGTTTTCTGGTTACAGGGTGAAGGTGGCAAGAAAAGGAAGACCTACCTTGTCAAGGGATTATACCCAGGACTGTCACAAAATCCAGCTCCTACAGGCATTAAGCCTAGAGAGCCTGGATGTTTGCTGGTAGCCATTAGTGTTGATTCAAAAATTATTTTGGGTTTTCCTTCTGGAATATGGCAGGATTGCACTTTTCTGCCCCCTTAAAGCTAGGCATGGCCATGTGATGCTTTGGCCAAGAAAAATGTGAGACGTCCTTAAGAGCAGTTTTTCACATTTCCTTTCCCCTTCCATAGCCTGGCTACATTTCAGACATGGTGGAAGCTCCATCAACCTCTGCCACTCAGATGACTTGGAGCAGAAATTTTTTGGCCCCAAGTTGGACATGTACGAAATAAAAACTTCTGGGGTTTTAGGGCTGTTCATTACAGCAGCACAGCTAGTCTGTTCTGAGTGGGTTGTTAATAAAGGCAAAATGAGGTTCTGAGCCATAGGAAGACTAGGCAGGATGGTTCCATGCTTTGCCTCCTGATTGAACCTTCTTCCTTGTTCCCTGTGTATTGATCTCATCCATTAGAGAACTCCATGAAGGCACATATCCATGCCACACTCAACACTGTATTCTAGGAACTCAAATGTCTGTTGAACGAATGAATAAAATACGCCAACAGGAAGGCCCTGACCAATTATGAATTTCGTTTCTCACAAGGTTTCAGGATATCCAGCACATAAAACCCCAATGCATACAAACTCCCCCCAAAGTTAGATGTTTAAAACACTTTGTTTCTCCAAGTTCTGAATTCGGCCGGGTAGCTCTGCTCCATGTGGTATCTGCTGAGGCTGGAATATCCAAGACGGCCTCTTCACTCCCTTACCTGGTGCCCAGGTGGCAGAGCCAGAATAGCTGAGGTTTGCTCAGGAGTCTTGTTCCACCTCATTTCTCCAAGAGTCACCAGACCTCTTTCCATCCTGGCTCAGGGTTCCAAGAGGACAAGCACAGATGCACAAGTGTCCCATGAAGCAGAGCACACTGGCTGAGTCAGCGTGGGAGGGGGCTACAGTGCAAGCAGATACCAGGTGTGGCTCCTTGGGGGCCACCAGTGTTAACAGTCTACTCAATCTCGTGATCCTAAGGCAGATAAGTGAAGCCAGGATGCCTCACCTTCCAAATAAAGAATGAGACACACGGGTTAAATCATTTGCCCAGGATTACACGTCTAAACGGTAAATGGAAAATACAAAAGAAGTATTCATGCTTCAAATCTTTACACACTGGCAAAAAGTCAAAGGTGTGTTATGGCCTTTTACTATGTCTCATTGCTCACCTTCAAACAACTTTCCTCCCTATCCCTTTTCCTTTCCTGATTCTCAGTAGCCAGCTGTGGGCAACTTTGACTATCTTTGCTCAGAAACGTAACAGTGTAGATAATCCCAAATCGAATGTGCTCTGTAGCATAATCTAAGTGAGTAGTAGTATTAGGTGGATAATACAGCCTGCCCCAGAAACTCCTAACACTTCAAAGGAAATAGTGATGAAACCACTTTAAAAGACTTTGAAAATAAAAAGGAAAAGCTTCTACTGTTCTCATCTTCACCAGAAGGACAACACACCAGCCTAGTAAACTGACTCTCTTTCTCTAAGCTTGCTATATTTTAATTCTCTCCTTCCCAAGAAGGAATTGATTGAGTCAAAGACGAATTAACTTACCAGGAACTTGTAAAAAACATCTACCAGAAGTGTTCCCAAATTTATAATATTAAGAAATTGTTTCCGGTATCAATTGAGGTTTGAGGTATTTATTTTAAAATATATTTATTCATATGTACATTCACTTTACATCATTACATTTTAACATCTATCAAAAACTAAAGAGTTTTTAAGAATTTTTCAAAGTCCTGTACTGAGGCCTTGGCCATCTCTTCACAAAATATTTCATCAGGCACAGATACCAATTTGTCCAAAGAGATGTAGTTAGGTTTTCCTGGATCATACTGTGCTCTTCCTAAATAGGCAAGAAACAAATGTCTTTCTTTGACTTTAAACAACCTTGAATTAAATACCTAGAAAAGAAAAAAAAAGTTTTTAAAAAACACTGTGCACTGAAAGATGAACTCTAAAAATGTTTATCTGGCTAAACATTTTAATAGGCTAACAAATATAAAGAATTGAGGGGGCGGAATCAAGACGGCGCACTAGGAGGATGTGGAATTCGCATCTCCTCACAACGAGGACACCTAGCAGGCACCGGTGGGGGACCACGGACACCTAAGGGAACGGGAGGAAAACCCAGCGACTGGGTAGGACGTGGGGCGCCGGGGGAGTGAAGGCGGAGGAGAAGTGGAGGCGGGACGGGACTGGCGCCCCTGAGGCGCGGCTGGGGGAGGGGAAGGGATCCCACGCCGGAAGGGGGAAAATGGGGAACCAATGGGAGGGCAGAGGATCAAAAGGGAGCGTGGCCAGGTTTCCCCCGCCCACTTGGGCCCCCAGGAACCTGCTGAGATCCTCTGCCCACCGAGGAGGTCCAGCCGCGCGGGTCCTGAGGGAGTGGGAGGGAGGGAAGGGGGAGCAAAAGTAAAGGCTGGACCTCCAGGACCGGCACCCCTGAGGCGTGGCTGGGGGAGGGGAGGAGTTCCTATACCCAGCGGGACCCACCCATGGTTAGGGGTCCAGCGGCGA